ATCGATAATCGATGATCTACCTTATCTTACAAACAAGCGAGGTTGATCATTCCGTGAGTGCGCAATCTCCGCCCAACTACTCAGAGGATAGACGATTATAATGGACGAGTCTTGAGTCTTGCCCGGCCACTGTCAATGATAAATCACGCTTGCTTCAGCCAAAATTCTCCGACGTTTTTGATAAATCCAAAATCTACTCACTCTGATCAAATCGTTAAAAACTCGTGAACCAAGGAGACCGGTGCCCTCTGCTTGGATAACTAAAACTCAGTCCAATACTTCTAGAAGAATTAAACGAATAGTCTTGCCTATACCTGCCTTGCGGGCCAGTTTCAGCAACAAATACATTTCTGCAGTTTCTTGTTTCACGCACTCGCTCTGTTAGCGTTTCAGCGGCTCTGATAGTTTTGTGCTTCCTACGAGAATTGAAACATTATTGTAATAACTGAACGTCTGTGCTGCTATAATAATGAGAATCGCAATCCTCATAATGAAAAATTTGCAATTTTGCGAAGAACAGAAATAATTTTGGAGTAGGTATCACAGATTTACTTGGTTGGCGTGATTTTAAGACGAGAAGCGGTGGATGAGCGATGGAAGAGCGATGGAATCAAACGTATCGCAAGAATTTGTGCTGGCATCTGAAACAACTTTTGAATATTTATACCACTGAACACGAACGAAAATGTTCGGCATGTTTCGATACATCACTAAGAATTAGCAACAGCGTTTGTAACGATTCGTGATTCTCACCTGGAAGCAGAAAGTTGGCATACTGTAGAGCTAACAGTTTGAAAATTGTTTTGTTTGAGAGCATTATAATAGTGTCTCAGCGAAAAATAAATTTTATATAATGTCGACTCCCTATTTGTGGTTGTGGCGCGGATTTGTGATGGTCAAGAAAGATCGATGGGTTACGAATGCCTTCAGCATAGGGCGAAGGTAATGAAGAGATGCAAGAGCAGCTCTACGCCGCCACAATTTGAGAGAAAGCCCTTATCTTGTACAGTAATTTTTGAACTTTAATGTCTTTTATTCAGAACACTTTCTTCTATTTCACTTTCATAAAGTCTTTCTTTTACCTATTCAGTGGCAGGATATTTACCTACAATAAAAAACAAATTTACATATCCGAGGGAATTTACTTGCGAGATTTTTTATGAAAAGTTTACTTCAGTGGGTCAATCGCTGGGGCAGAAGGAACTTATGCAAACTGACAAAAAAAACCACAAACCTAGAAGTATTAGTCTGCTAATTTCATTTCAGAAATACCTTCGATAATACTACTTACAAAATTGCATCCGTTCAGAGATTTTACAAGATCATGGCAGATCAGATTAGGAGTCACATACCCTTGTTGAAAAGCTTACAACTTTTGTCTGTCAGGTCAACTTTTTCTTAGCAAAAGAACTTTGCTTTTTTCTACTCGAATGATATAGCGTTTGCTAACAGTTGTTAAATCAAAAAAATGCAAAGTACTTACTTTCAAATGTAGCCTTCTGTATTAATATAGTCGGCTATCGAATTATCAATACTTGGCGCTTAGGCTATCGAACTATGTATAATATATAGTCAATGGGGTGGTAGAATCTGGAAGGTGGGCATCCGCATAATAAGCTTAAGCCTAAGCTATGACTGAGGCTAAGGAACTATTTATACATTATTTGCTGAAAATTTTTGGCGACGTAGGTTAATGGGGTGTGTCAAAATCCAAAAAAATTGTGGCAGCCACTATCTAGACCAGATTAGTCTTCTCCCACCAGTAAGCTTACACTCAACAATCTCCTGCAGCTATTCGCCTCGCAAGACTTGGTAATTCAAGATTTTTAGAGGGTTTTCCAGTTAATTGTTCTATCAGATCGATTTCAGGAACGTGTAAGCAATGTTTGACCTGAGAACGGCTGGAGCATCCAATAATCAGAGGAATAAGAGATACAATTGGCAGGACTCTGGTTATTCACGCGATGCAGGATAATTTGGGCAAAGAAAATAGAGGTGAAAGCACAACAACAGGCAATTCCGAGATGCGCGTCGCGTGTGGGCTTATTCTCCCTCGATGAAGCGCTTTTGCTTTTATTCTTGGTAATAATTTATTGAGAGAAAATTGCACAAAAGCCATTACATTTGTATCCAGCATGCTCTCTTCTTACTGGTCTCTGCTTGTACACACACTCTCATAAAACAGTGCTATTACACTACAACGTCAAGCTGAGGCACATGCATTTGTGAAGGTCTTGAAACGACTCTAAATCGTTGTACATGTAATCAACACCAGCATTACCAAGTATGCTTCAACTATACTTTGTGTTTGTAACTTCGCAAAGATTAGCGTTCTGGGGATATGGAGCGCAGATCTGAGATGGGCTTTTCAAGAATTACGCAAAGAGACTCATAGACACGGTCACCTACTATCCTTTTCCTTTGACAATCTTCCTTTCCTACGAATTTCTTGCAGCAGGAAATCTTCGCTGTGATATCCTTACAGACATGTACGCCAACTGT